AATTAGTCAACTTTTGAGGAAAAATATTCTTGCCGTTCATTTCATTTCATAAATTTTACTTTTTATAAAATTAAAACCTTTGTTAGTTGAAGATTGATTGAGACAAAAAGTTATTCAAAAAAATTGAAGAGTACAGCGACATTAAATCAATTCTACATTCTTTTTGAGATTAAAATGAAATGCTGAGCGTCAAATTGCATGCAAACTCAATTGGAATAACACCAAAACCTCCTGTTCGTTCATCTTTATTAATTCAACGGTGAATTCTTTTCCTTAATTGAACTTAAATAATTTTTCATATTAACGTGCGTTTTTTTGTTTACTGTATATATTGTAGTGAGAGTAATAGAAAGAGGAGAGAGAGAGAGAGAGAAAGAGAGAGAGAGAGAGAGGGAAAGAGAGAGAGAGAGAGAGAGGAGAGAGAAAGAAATGCTAGAGAGAAAGTGAATGAGTGGTGTTTGACGTTAATTACTGATGCCTATCTACGGCCGTATAAGACACGGTCCAATGATTGATTCGTTTGTGATGAAACATTGCTCTGCTTCATTTCACGCACCTCCAATTCCATCATTTCATCCTTCCACTCCATCATTTCATCATTCCACCATCCAATCCTTCCATCATTCCACTATTCCATCATGCCTACTTACTCACGCTTACTTACTTACACATGATGATGTGTCTCGCATAATATGCAATTGCGATATAATCTCACAACATGTAGCATACAGTAGTACAGGTGGGCCCAAGTGTGACTAGGTACTGGGTAGTTAGGTAGGTAGGTACTGGGTAGGTAGGTAGATACGCATTTTATTGGACATGCAAGTGCAATCCATTACATTCCATACTTCTATAGAATCGTTTGTGAGTGATTAGACCAAAGTTTCCATACAATCGTGTTTGATGGACTTTATTGCTTAGATTATTATTATTATTATTTTTATATGTATTATTATTATTATTTTTATAGCTCTTTTGAAAAACCTCCCAAAAACGCCAACCAACCGCTCGTGCACTCAAACACACAAATTTTATTTTTAATCACCTAATGAAAACATTTGTCGAAAATAAGATGATGACAATCAAAATACATAAGTGAGGCTGTAGAAAGAGTTTGGGAGGTTGCGAATCATTCCACAGCCAGGGTTGGTCCAGCGACTGATGAATAAATAATTTTTCATCAGTAAGTAAAGATGTTTGAGAAACATTCAAGTATTTTATTCATTTATTTACGATATAACATTGTATTGAACAAAACACGTCCATTTAAAATGTTTATTAATTTAGAAATATGTTCAAATAATTATTTATCTTGCGCGTTTGCTGTGTGCATAGATACAAATATGGGCCATTCCACAAAGATAAAACAAATATGTGCCTTCCTTCCACATGCATGCATACATAGATACAGATTCCAACTCTCCAGATTTTTGATCTGCAACATTTTTTCATTTAATTAAACGATGCTATGATATCCAAGAATGCGTGAAACTAGTCGAATTAGCTTCTCGTAGTTTGTGTAATTACGTATGTACGTTTATATGTGACTGAATGATTGAATGAATGAATGAATGAATGAATGAAAGAATGAATGAATGAATGAATGAATGAATGAATGAATGAATGAATGAATGAATGAATGAATGAATGAATGAATGAATGAATAAATGGATAGATGAATTTAACGATTAAATGTTTAAATAAATTAATAAATAAACAAATAAATGAGTGGACAAATAAAGAAATAGACACACACACACACAAAATGAATGAATGAATATTCATTCATTTTGTGTGTGTGTGTGTCTATTTTTAATGGTTGAATGAACAAACCAATAGAATAAAAAAATATTTGAAAAAATGTTAAAATGAATGAATGAATAAATAAATGAAGGAATGCATAAACAAAAACATTAATAAATAATTAAATAAATATTTTAATTAAATAATTATTCTATAAGCAGCGGATTCCAATGCTGTTTGCATTCCACCACAGATAGTTGGTGGACCGAAGAATGGCGTGACGAGTAAGAGGTTTGACCTGAACCTCCAGATCAACTGCAACACCGCCGGTTCAACTCCGCTATAGTTAGTAGCCACTCTCGTTCACCACTTTTTCATTTGTTCGTTCATGATCATTAATAATGTTCATTTGCTTACTTTTGTTTCTTACATGTTCACTTTTCTTTTGGTTTTTGTTTATACATTTATAATTCACCCATTAATTCATCTGTTTATTAATTCATTCACCTATCTATATAATACGCCCAGATTATGCCTTCTGTGTGGTTGTTTGTTTGTTTGTTTGTTACGATGGTGTTGTGTTGTGTGTTTGTGGTGTTGTCTCATGTTTACAGAGCGACAAAGAGTTAATTCATGGGTATTGCTGATTAACTACTCTAATATTGTTTAAAATTTAATTTATTTGTCGGGAAACAATATTTAAAAGTTAAACATGAAATAAAATTAAATATGAAAAAAATTATAAATAATTAAACAAAAAACGAACGAATGAGCTAACAAACAAACAAACAAACAGACAGACAGACAAACAAACAAACAAACAAACAGACAAACAGACAAACAAACAAACAAATGAACAAATACCTAAAAACTGAATAAACAATGGAATGAAACAACCTTCGAAGCATTAATTTATTTTTAGTCTTCTAATTGATAACATGTCTCATGATGAGATATAATATAATGATCTGGCATGCAAGGCTTTTAAGTTTGTATTTTAAATGGTGCAAAAATGTTCAAAAACATATCAAGTATCTCAGGCAGCCTTCATCTCAACGATCATCGCGTATCTCCATTTAATCATCGTTATATTCACCCATCTTTAAAAAGTTGCCAACTTCAGACAATCATATCAAGCTTTTCATTTTATTTACGTATCTTTTTTATTATTACAAAACATTTATTTGTGTAAGTTCTCTCTCTCTCTCTCTCTCTCTCTCTCTCTTTCTCTCTCTCTTTTTTCTGTCTCTCTGTCTTTTTCTAAATATATAATTATTTGTTTAATTATTTACATATTAATGGGAAATGTTCCAGCCGTGGCGTTGTGATCTTTGCGACCCTGCAGTTTGATGTATATGATTAGTTGGACCATAATATAAAATCTACTGGTGATGTTGTATGTTTGCGTGTGCATGCGTGTGTGTGCAAAACTGTGCATGTGTGTATGTGTGTGCTACATGTGTGTGTGTGTGTTACAGGTGTGTATGTGTGCGCTACAGGTGTGTGTGTGTTTTTGTAAGTGTATGACCGTTTGTTTTATGTATTACTTGCATTTGAAATTTTTTAAAAACAAATAATCTCTGTATAAAATAGTTCAGCAAATAAATTGTATGAATATGTTTCATGAAATTAATTAATCCATTTGATGTCTCACGTTGTAATCATGATTGTATCAGTGTTGCGGCAGCGGTGTCTGTGTCTAAGAAGCAGGCAAGCATGCAACCTTCCAACAATTTTATAATGCTGTCATCGCATACATTTTTGAATATATTTGTATATAATATTCATCAGAGGCGCATTGGCGTGCGTCAATTATCATCACCACCACCATCATCATAGCAGCAGCACCACCATCATCATAGCAGCATCATCATCAGCAGTTATTTCATTTCCTCACGGCGCGCCCACCGTCACGCTTGCCTGTCTGCAAACTCTGAATCATTCATTTGAGGCGAGTCTGTGTTTGGCTGAATGTGTGTTCGAACCAGGTCACTGAGCAACTCCTCCACTCATTCATCCACTCACCTATCCATTCATCCATCTGATCAATTAAATTCCGAACATTTTTTAATTTAAAATAAATAACATTTAATCACCTCGCAACCCTATCATCTTTCTCTTTATATTTTCAATGTTTAAATGCTTAATATCATATTCACTCACCTTGAAGTGGCGTACTATGATTGATTGAATAAGAACAATAATCGTCGCACTGCTAGACCTCAAGAATGCTTTCGGCGAAGTTAGTCACTTGTTAATCAACTCGATCCTTTCATATCATCAAATACTGCAAATAATGAAATCGCTAATATTATCAATTTACTCTGATTATTCAACAATAATATCTGTCAACAGTGAACTAACGCCAGCATTGCCCGTCAGAAAAGGGGTTCTCCAGGGTGACCCGTGTTCCCCTTTAATATTTAATTTATGCTTCAACCCCCTGATGAAGGTTCTCAATACAGAGCAGTATGCCAATTGTGGCTATTTCTGGGGACCAACTGTAGGTTTAAAAACTAGATCCTGGCTTCAGTTTGCTGATGATTCAGCTATAGTTTCACATAGTTCTGAAAGTGCACAAAAATTGATAGACCTAAACTATGCGACTTAACCGATTTTAAATATATCTTTTTTACTCTCAAGCACTTGTTGATCAAAGAGCATGAGAGGATCGTACATTATATTTTGTATTTTATTTATTTACACTCTAATATATAATTAATAATTTTCGATGGATTCCATTTGGATTTTGTTTTTTGGTAAATAAAAGAATGTTCTCATTATTATCATCATCATCATAGTTATTGTTATTGTTATAATTATTATTATCGCTACGTTATAATTATATTATTTAGAATATTATCATATAATCATCATCCGTATAATTATTATTATTGTTATTATTATTATTATTATTGTGTTTTGTTTAGTTTGGCGTTCTGCAAACGAGCAAACAAACAAACAACATTTCATTCATTCATAATTGAAAACATGCCTATACGAATGTATGTATGTATGTATGTATGTATGTATGTATGAATGTATGTATGTATGTATGTGTGTGTGTGTGTGTATGTATGTATGTATGTATGTATGTATGTATGTATGTATGTATGCATGTATGTATGTATGTATTTATGTATGTATGCATGTATTTATGTATGTATATGTATGTATGTATGTACTGGCATAACGACTGTCAGGGCAGAGGCACATGGATTAACAAATAACAAATGGATTAACACTTTGATTTGTTGTTAATTGCACATGTCGGCATTCAGTTGGATATTTTCAAGCACACAGACACGCAGGAACCGCTGCAACAAGCACGAAATGTGGTTAGTTGCAAAAAACAGTTCCCTGCTGTCGCCTGATCTGACGCTGATCATTTTGCATATTACCTTATGAAATTTAAAAGTGTTGGGATTCATCGGGCCGAGAACCTCGATACATATTGGCAAGAATTCCATCGAGGGGATGGCGTTCCCATATTTTTTCATTTTCTCATCCGCTGCCCTGGCCGCGGCCAAACCGCATTCTTTACTTGTCAGGTTTACGTATCGTTCGGCGAGGGTGCCAGGGACCGTAACATCCCACGCCAAATATCTGCCGGCTCTCCAAGGTATTAGTGTGCATCCGTCCGGGCGCCTACCATCATGCGCAGAAATGCCGGATGGTTCTTTGAGAACCGGGATTGAAGCCTTGGAGAAAAGACGACAAATGTATTCGTTTAGCGCTGAGTGAAGTAGTTGACGGCCCCCACCCAGGCGACAAACCAAACCGTGGTATGTATGTATGTATGTATGTATGTATGTATGTATGTATGTATGTATGTATGTATGTATGTATGTATGTATGTGTGTATGTATGTATGTGTGTATGTATGTATGTATGTATGTATGTATGTATGTATGTATGTATGTATGTATGTATGTATGTATGTATGTATGTATGTATGTATGTATGTATGTATGTATGTATGTATATATATGCTTGTATGAATGCGTGTGTACGTGCATGCCTGTGTGCATGTGATAGAAATAGTTAGTTTTTTAGTAATTATTCAGTAATTTATTGACAGTTGAAATTTTACAATTGAAACAAGATTTACTACTACTACTAGTACTACTGCTACAACTACTACTACAACTACTGCTACAACTACTACTAATGCTACAACTACTACTGTACTGCTGTTGCTACTACTACTAGTACTACTACTACTACTGCTGTTGTTGTGGCTACTACTAATGCTACTAAAAAACAACAATAATAATATAATAATAACAACTATAACAATATGTGTGTGTGGAAGTGTGTATGTGTATCTTCTGATATGTGCATGTGTGTTTGTGTATGTGTGTGTGTGTGTTGCTGCGGCTAATACTACTAATAATAATAATATTAACAACAATAATAATGATTTAACAATATTCACAATATGTATACATGTGTGTGTAAGAGTGTGTATGTGTATCTTCTAATATGTGCGTGTGTGTGTGTGTGTGCGCGGGCGTGTGAGTGTGTGTGTTTTTGAGCAGATAGCTAGTATAGCAGTCATTCCGAAAAAACAAATTTTTGAAAAATGATTCATCTGCTTTTATTTTTTACGCCTCTTACAACTCTTTCTCACCAAATATCAAGTTACATGGTTGGACTGTTGGAGTCAGTCCGGATTTCATCTACATTGAAATATTCTTAACAATTTTCGTTAAATAGTTTCGCCTGCTAATTTAATATGGCTTATAAAATTAATATGACCTTTTAGGAACTGACCCGACATATATTCAGATGGTTAATGACTTATATATCCAGATTCTTAATGACCTAACCCAAGTTTTTTTATTCATATGAAAGGTCTATCTTTCTTTCTACAGTGGCATTGATTTTTTCAAATCTTTTCAATAAATTCAGAGCTCAAATTGTTAAAGGTTATAGGTAATGATAAAGATGACAACATGGATGACAATGATGAGAACAATAGTGAGTGTATATGGTGAGTGATGGTGAAGAAAATTTTTAGATGACGGGAATAGTAAAGATGATGTTGAGAAATGGTGAAGATGATGGTGAGAAGAAGAAAGGTAGTAAGGATGGTGAAGAAGATGTTGAGATGATGAGAATGATGAAGAGGATGGTGAAAATGAGAAAGATGATGAGGTGATGAGGATGGTGAAAAGAATGATTATTGAAATTTGGAGAGAGGACGAAGGTTATAAAGGTGAGAAAGATGGCGAAGATGGCGAAAGAGATGATTATGGAAATTGTGGTGACGGTGATGAGGATGAAGATGGAGGAAAAGAGTAAGAGAGGTGGAAACCGAAAAGATGAAAAAAGAATTTTGTCTGCAGGCATGCCTGAAAAGAACTTAGTGCACGTTGTTGTTGTTGTTGATCAAAATGATGATGATGACGATGTTGATGGTAATGATGACGATGATAGTGGTCATGGTAATGATGATAGGATTATGATGATGATATGATGATGATAATGATGTCACAATGATGTTAATGACGAAAATATTGACGTACAAATGATTTTGAAGTTGGCGATTATATTAGTAAAAAATAATATTCACGGCAAGCTTTTTTTTACGATTTTTTTGAACTTTCATTGCACTTTCTAATCATCAATTGAAATTTTTGTCTTCTTGTAAGTAAGCTGGCTTGGATTTCATTGTAAAGTTGTTGATTTGTTGTTTTGCTTATCTTAAATGTTTTGTTCGCAAGTGTTTTGTTGTTGTTGGTATTGTTATATGCTGTTGTTGTGCTGTTTAATGTTGTTGTTGGTATTGTTATATGTTGTTGTTGTTGTGTTGTTGTATGTTGTTGTTGTGTTAGTGCTGATTGGCTTCTGTTATTATTTCTTAATTTTTATTCTTTGTTTATTGAACTGTTTATGAAAATGTTTCATTACTTTGTTACTGCTCTATTTCGTTGTCGTTGTTGTTGTTGCTGTGTTATTTTTTTTTATTTTAATTTGTTTAGTGTGCTCCACTGGATTCATGCTAGTGAATGTTTGAATGTCATTTGGAAGTTGTGTTTGTGTGGTGTTGTTTGGTGTTTGTTTGGTTTTCAGATCGAATTTCTTCAACTATTGACATCTGATTTGTAGCTGATATATATGTGTGTGTTTGTTTGTGTGTTTGTTTGTTTGTTTGTTTGTTTGTTTGTGTTTGTGTGTTTGTTTCTTTGTTTGTACGTACATATGTATTTGAATTTGTATTTGATGGTTTGTGTTGCATTTGCATGCACGTGTGGATAAATATGTTTATTCGTATATACATCAAAAACAACTGCAACAGTAACAACAACAACAAACAACAATAATAGAAGCCATCAGAAATAAAATTGAGAACATTATTTCTTTTTACATTTCGTATTCTTGTTTATCGTTATTATTATTATTATTGTTTGAGTTTAATGGTTCAAGTGAACTAACGCTGGCACTAATAACAGGAGCGCTAAGATATCTGGAGGTATTTGACATGATGATGATATTGGCGATGATGATGATGAAGATGTTGGCGATGATGATGATGGTGTTGGCGGGGGTGATAATGATGGTGTTCAGTAACGATCATGATGTTAAGGATGATGATGACAGTTTTAATGTTGTCAACGAGAATTTTAATGTTGATGGTAATGTAAGTAATTATAATATATATATATTTGAGTTTAATGGTTCATTGTTTGGCGTATATATATATATATATATATATATATATATATATATATTATTGATAAAAATCGCAGCATGTTCGGCGTTAGTTAACTTGCAATTTAACTTTTTGATTTTTCTAATTTTTCTAACGGTTGATCGTGAATCATTTTCAAGTTTCTTGAGTTCAAAACCAAAATTTTATGTTTATTTTATTATTTTATGCCTGATAGAACAAAAAAGCTTTTTTCGGTGTTCATATACCATCTTCAGTGATCAAATTGATATGTTGCGTATGTGCCCAGATGCTCAAATACATATATATACTGTGTCTCTACTCTACTTTGTTGATTCCTTGTTTGTTCAAAGTGAATACTTAACGCTCATTCAATTAGTTTTACAATCTTCAACTTCGTTTAATACAACAATTTTACGTGTTTTCATTATAGATGTCTAGATATGTTTGACAACATTCACTATTGCCATTGGTTTATGTGTATGCTAACTTTGTTACAAACTGCATTATTATCAAATAGATGGTATCAACAAAAGTGGTTTGATGAAATTTTTTGCTTCAGGCGTTTGTTTAATAGCCGCCTGTGTCATAAGGTCACGAAGGTCAAATAATATATATATATATATATATATATATATATATATATATATATATAAGTGATTGTGTGTGGGTTGTCTGTGTGTTGATTGTTGATTTTTTTGTTTGTTTGTTTGATTTCCGAACTTCAACATCCTCAAAGGCAGTCCCAACTTGCTACACTACAAAGTTTCAACAACTTACCTCTTCACCCATTCATTTTTTTTTTACTTTGAACAAAAAAAACAATTACGTCATCAAAACACCATCGGAATGTCTCCCTCCCCCAACTACAGGAGTTGTTATAATTTTGACTTTTAAACCGTCCCGACAGCATCACCTGGCATAAAGATGACGGACCCCTGGATGTGAACGACCACCGCCACACATTAGTCTCGGAAGGCTTATCTAACGGCCTCACATTGGCGGCCAATCACGACATGTCTGGCTCCTACTGGTGCGTCGTCGGCAACAAGTGTGGCAGGGTGATCTCCAACACCACCGTCGTCCTCACCAGATACAAACTTGAGAAAAAAAATTTCGGGGCTCGAACAGTCGAAGTTGGTTGTTGTTGGTTGCTTGTTACTTGTTGTTTTGCTGTTGGTTGCTTGTTGTTTGTTTTTTTGTTATTTGTTGCTTGTTGTTGTTTGTTGGTTGCTGTTGTTTGTTTGTTGTTTTTTGTCGTTGTTTGTTTCATTGCTGGTTGCTAATGTTGTTGTTGTTTTGGTTGTTTGTTTTTTGTGGTTGTTGTTGCGGTTGTTGTTGTCTATTGTAAGCATTTCAAAAAGTTTATTGAAGTAAATTAATTAATTAATTGTTGATATAATATTTTTTTGTCATTAGGTTATGGAGGGTAAAAGTTTGAAATTGAAAATTGACGACTACTTTCAATCCAGTGAATTCAAGCACGCGTCAGTTTTTTTTAGCATATAATTAATTAATTAATAATTAATTAATTGATCAATCATTCCAGCTTTTATTCACATTTATTTATTTGTTTTATAATAATTAATTAATTAACTCAATTAAAAAATTTTTATATTTTTGGTTTAAAATAATTTATAAAGTTTCATAAGTTGAAATTGTAATGATACATTTAAAACTATTGTGCCATTTTTTTAAACAATCATTTTATATTCTTTTAATCTTATCTAATCTCATTATTGGCTCGCATTTTTATTATAGATATATATCTATATTTTCGTCTCCATCATTGCTACGCCATCATCATCAAAACTTCATCATATACAACATCGTTATCATCAACACCACCATTATCACCATCATTTAAAACATCGTTATCATCACCATCATCTTCATCATCATCCTCATCGTCATAGCATAGTAAATTTAGCCTCATACTCATCATAGTGATTATAATGAGAATGATGTCACAATCATCATCGTCATCGCTATATCATAAATCCAACATCATCATCATCTCCACCACACCTCCCCAACAGATGGGGCATCAACAAATGGCCCATCAAGGCGAGCCCCTTCGATCGTCACCTGCCGATGGGCCGAAGACTTGGCGTGGATCTCTTCGGTTCGTTGAATTTCATTGTTGAACATTTGATCTTCTGTGGCATTATTTGTTATTAACGTTGTTTTCAATCAATTATAACCATGATAGGAAATTTTTTCATATATAAATGGCTGGTCCTTGCGAACATTAGGTTGGCATTTGTTTGGATTCGCGTCAGTTTTGAAACTCAATTGTTTGCTTTGTTGTTAAAAATAAATTTTCTGCGGCTCTGTGAAACGAGGCAGTGCACTATTTAATTTATATAAAGTTTATGATTCGAAGATGTCATGACTCTATAGAACTTTTTCAATGCGTTTATACACAATAAAAAATAATTAAGATTTTCTCTTGAGGCTAACACCATCACATATTTTAAATGTAAGGAACCGTAATGAGTCCTATCAAACAAACAAACAAACAAACAAACAAACAAACAAACAAACAAACAAACAAACAAACAAACAAACAAACAAACAAACAAACAAACAAACAAACAAACAAACAAACAAACAAACAAACAAACAAACAAACAAACAAACAAACAAACAAACAAACAAACAAACAAACAAACAAACAAACAAACAAACAAACAAACAAACAAACAAACAAACAAACAAACAAACAAACAAACAAACAAACAAACAAACAAACAAACAAACAAACAAACAAACAAACAAACAAACAAACAAACAAACAAACAAACAAACAAACAAACAAACAAACAAACAAACAAACAAACAAACAAACAAACAAACAAACCAACCAACCAACCAATAAACAAACAAACAAACAAACCACCAGGAAACCTTCATTTCGCATACGTGCTTCAGAGCGACAGCGTCCTGGAAAACTTCGTTTACAAGAGCCTCACGTTCGACCTCTTCGATGACGCCCACATCGGAGGCAGCTACACTTTTCTCAACGTCACAAAAAGTTTGTGCAGTTTGCTGTTAGGTGTTCGTTTGCGTCTGCTTGCATGCCGCCAAGTATCATGTATGTATACTCTGATGTATAATTGTGTGGTTTGTTTATCTCCATTTCAATGCATGCTCTTCAGACAGCGGAAAATGTATATGGCAAATATCGACACTTATTTTTTTAAAATTTCAAATAAAGTTTGCGTTAAACTCTAATAAACTATTAAAATCAACGTTGTATGATCTAACAACGACAACACATCCACTTAAGATCCGAAAGGCATCGTCCCATTTCCTCCCAAGTTGGCTTTTGCAACCAGCTCCAACATCGTTGCCTTGGAAGGAGAGAACAAAACGTTGGAATGTTTCTTCTACGGATAGTATGTTCAAATCAATTTTTCAATTTTTTAATTATTTTCTGTTGTTCGCTATTTTAAAACCCAAGTCGCTAAAGACGTCTATTGAGAGGAACAGATAGGCAAAGTACATACACACCGACACACGTTCAAATGTATGTACGAATTTGTTATTAAGTTTATTGAATTTGTTAATGAATGTTCGCCTACAGTCCCCTCCCTGAGTACAAGTGGTCGTTTGTGGGCCACAAGGATTGGGACGACCGTCGTTACTTCACTAGCAGCGAGACAAATTTGACGTTGTTGGATGTGAGGGCAGAGGACGCGGGCACCTACACCGTCGTTGGAAGCAACCACCTGGGCAGTGGAGAGTGCGTCTTCCATGTTTCTGTTGAGGGTCTGTCTGTTCGTCCGTGCAACCTTCAAATTTTTTCAACCGTTACACCTATTACTTGAGATTATTATAACAGACTCCTAAAAAAATTTTAATTGAACAATAATTAATTAATTAATTAATTTAGTTGTTTGGTAAATTAGAAATATTTTTCATTGAAAAATAGCTTTTCCACGTTTTAAATTGGAGCACGATAGTCCAAAGAACATGAACTTGACAGAGGGGCAGGACGTGGTCATCAACTGTGCCCCCTTTTCTTTGCCTCCACCCTCCATCCAGTGGATCATTAATGGACGCAATGTTGATGGTCGGTGAAAATTCTCGAGTGCAGATGATGCTGTTGCTGTTGTTGGTGATGGTGATGAAGAGGATTGTGATGATGATGATGCTGATGATAATGATGATGATTACAAGAATGAAAGTAATGATAAATGTGATGACTAATGAATGAGCATACTCTTGTTACTGGAGATGATTTGAATGGCTGTTATAAAAGTGAGACATTTGTTGCAAATTTAATGTTTCAAAGAAATATATTCGATGCGACCGTCACCTAACATATCTTTATGTTTTCGAGGATGTTGTTACTTTCATAATTTGATGCCTAATTAATATTAATTCGGTATTAAAAATATTTCATCACTCGCTCCAAGCACACGACCTGCCACCAAATGTCGAAATGGCTGCCAACAAAACTTTCTTGAAAATTAAGAAACTGTCAAAAGATGGCAGAGGTTCGGAGAGCATGGTCGTACAATGCAACGCAACGAACAAGCACGGCTACATGTTGAAGGCTGGCTACATCAATGTCCTCAGTGAGCCGTCTTAACCTGCTAATCTGCTTTTATTTTTCAATTATGTTTTGACTTTAACGTTGGAGCTGCTGTAGCCATGGTAGTTGAAACAAGATGAGCTGATTAAATAAAATTTTATACAAAAATGTAACAACAGGACGAACGAAAATTGTGGTGGATGAAGAAGTGGTGTACACTGAGACTCAAGAATCCTCGTCATCATCATCTTCCTCATCAAAAACATTTGAAATCTCCGGATCATCTGAATCGTCAGGATCATCATCAACAGGATCGTCAGGATCATCGTCACCATCATCGTGGTCATCTGGTAAATCACCATCAGCAAACGTTCCACACGATCCTTCATATTCGCCACCAGACTCACCTTATCTACCACCACCTCACTCACCCCTGTCACGACAACCTTCAACGACTTCAATACCGCCTATGCAAAATGATAAAGAAGAAAAAGAACTTAAGTACAAATGCAAAGGTGTTTACGATCCTGCTACCCCCTCCAAACCAAAGTGGTACCAACTTCGGAAGAACATTTCAGAAAATGGCAGCAAACAAGCAAATGATTATGAAGAACTAACGGCCTCTGATCCTCCTCACATAATGCTGTATGAAGAGATGGAAGGGAATGTTCAAGTCAGTCGACTGGTTCTGAGGAAGGAGAAGAACACGTCGTGGGCTGGCCTGCCGCACAGGTTCAAATGCATCGTCGATAATGGCTACACGAAGGATGAGAAGGTGGTTGATGTCTTCGATCCTGAAGCTCTTAAACCTGCTGGTTGGCTGTGGTGATAGTGGTGATGTTGATGTTGATGATGATGATGGTGAGGACGATGAAAATGGCGATGATATTGTTAATTGAGTGGAGGTTTCTTTTTGAAACGCGATATAAAACTTAGAAGAGGTCTTCAACCCTCTGGACAAGTGGTGGGTGTGGACGCTACCGCTGTTGTTTTTCCTGCTGTGTTGTTGTTGTGGCTGCTGTCTTTGCTGCTGCTGCTGCTGTAGAAGAAGGAAGAAGGATAAATATAATGGTATGTTGAGTGGCAGTTATCAGTTATTAGATTTAAAAATAACATTCGGTGTCAATTACATCAATTTATTTCCGATTATTTTTATAATCGATTAATTTTGTTAAAAAATTATTAAATGATGGACAATCCTTCAGATTGTTCGTCTCAATCATTAACGATGTTGATGATTCATCTTAATTATTTAAATGGAAAAAACTAACAAAGATTTTCTTCTAATGAGTTTAGAAATATTCGTAATGGTTGTCGTAGTGTGTCATCCATCCATTGTTGGTTGGTTAACTATAAACATCCTGATCGCAGTTGATGACAAGGAGCGGAAGAACGGAAATAATCCAGAAAAGGAATTATGCGACCAGGAGTTCAAGTCCTACAGCAGAGAGTATGTGTAGTGTACATTCATGTTGTTGTATGTATTGTGTATATCCGTGTTGTTGTTGTTTTGTGTAGTGTACATTCGTGTTGTTGTATGTATTGTGTATATTCGTGTTGTTGTATGTATTGTATATATCCGTGTTGTTGTGTGTATAAAGTACATTTGCGTTGTTGTTGTTGTTGTGTACATTCGTGTTGTTGTATGTATTGTGTAGCCTATATTTATTTCGTTGCATATACTGTGTATATTTGTGTTGTTGCGTGTGTGTATAAAATACATTTGCGTTGTTGTTGTTGTTGTATGTGTAGTGTTTTCGTGTTGTTGATATGGTGGATAAATCATTGGAAATTAATAAAACTGAGTTTAATCTTAATGACGTAATAGCTGATGCAATGATCATGCTGATAATGATAACAACGTATTAAGGGTAACTTGATGAGAAACAATTACGTTAATAATTGTCATACAGTGATAATAAAAATAAACCACAATAATATGAAAGCTGTTATTTTTAAAAGGGTTTAGATTTATAAACTAATTTTAATTGATCACTTCCATGATAATTGACACTCCCCAGTTCGACCGAAGCAATTAACGTAGACATTTTCGTGAATTAGATTTTTTAATATTTTGTTCTCAGTGACACAGAAAGCAAGTTCCAAAGTAAAAAGTTGATGACGGCAGATGGCTACGTTCTCAGCGATGATGACGACATCAGCCTGAATGATTACGGACTGTCGGATGGAGGGAGGTTCACGGAGGATGGATCCTTCGTGGGGGCCTACGTCATCTCCCCGGGCACCAGGAGTCTCAAGATCAGGAAGGAGATCGTCAAGGATCACTATCCCAATAGTTAGATATGTTCCGCCTTGAACTTCTAGTGGATTGAACATTTTCATTTATTAAACTCCAACAATAATCAAAAAAAATTTTTTTCGTATTGAAAAATATTTTAGAACTGTAATAAAAAATATCTTCTAACGAAACGACAGATCTGTACGTGGGACAAAACATCCATTCAAGCAGCGGAGTCTTCTACACAATGCCCCCCTCCTATCGAGAGGAATCTATGCCGGCCCAACAATTTCAGCACCAGCAACAACATTCCTTCGAACAACAACAACATTTCATTCAGCCTCAAGTGGCTCATCAACAGCACTACATCGTCGACCACAGCCAGTCAACCCTAGGTCAACCACAACACATCCTCATTGATCAACAGAATGTATCAAACGTCCAACATGTTGCAGTTCTTAAGCACGAGGTTCAACAACAACAACAACAACAACAACAACAACAACATCAGTTTGATCACGGACAACCAGATTCGCAACAGTTCATGATGATGATCCATCAACAACAACATCATCAACAACAACAACAAGAGGAACATGAAGAAGAAGGGAAGAAGCCAACGTATCAATCATGCCTCGACATCAGCAGCAACAAACCAGCGGCTGACATGCCAGAGTACCATACATTCACCAAAACTACAAAAATTGTTTATTCCTAGGCTGTCACATTGGAGTCTTCATTCAGAATTTCTTTTATAAACTAACTTCACTTGCTGAAGCCTTCGTCGTGTTCATATATTTTTGTAGAGAATTTTTATAAGTTAATTTCACAAAACACGTTAGGTGGTGCTAACAATACTGCAACGCAGTTTTGTAGTTATATAAGCATAAACATGGTTAAAACTTTGTTGTCTAATTCATTCTTTTATGTTTCGTCCTTCCATCATTTTTTCATCTTCACATTGTTCAGTCATTCATTCATCACTGAAAATGCATTCATTACAAATAGTTTTGTATTACAAAATTATGTCAAATTGTTTACATTCTGAATTGTATGCATGCATGCATGCATGCATTTCTTCTGTTTCCATTCAAATTCTCTTCATATCCATCTATCTGGTTGATTGCTATTTTCAGTGGTTGAACTTTTACTATTTTTTATGCATAGAGCATTTTTACACACAAAGTAAAGAATATATACAAAATATTTGTGTGTGTGTGTGTGTGTGTGTACCGCGATACCAGTAGAGTTTATATTTAGAAATAATTATAGAACTACTGTTCAATTTCAGGGTATAACACTGCCCCATAAGAATGTTTGCCCCAAATTTTATTGTAGCCACCTTCAATTACGTATTAAGGCCTATTTTTTTGCTAAGAAAATAGATTGCACATGTGTTGCTTTAAGCGTCTTATTTGTGTAGTTAATTAATTTCAATTTAATTTATTTATTTGATTAAATAATTTTTAATGATTTTTAAATTTAGAGTGTTTTTTAATTTATCTATTTAAGAAATTTATATAGAGTATTTATATGTTTAAATGATTTAATTATTTAAATAATGATTTTTCATTTTCGATATAAAGCAGTTTATTTAAATATATAAGATGAAGTAGGAATTGTTTCCGCCCGATGGGATTTCAAATTTTCCATCTCTGTGTTCGTGCTTTCTTCATTTCCGTGTTTCTATTTCAATACTTATTAATTTAATTTAAATTTAATTAAATTTATTTAATTTAAATTTAATTTATTTTAATCTATTTAATTTAATAGATTTTCATATTTGAATTTAACTTAATTTAACTTTTTAGTTACTTGTATCTTATTTGTTTTTTTTTAATATAGAAAAATAATTGCTCTGTTTTAATTTAAATGTTTCATTTGCTTCTGTTTTTCAATCTGTTAATTTTTAAATATTTTTTCTAAAAGTCATTTGCAATTAATAAAAAAAAATCGAAACAATGAAATAAAAACATTTACAAATAGTATTCCCGACAAATTGTTTTGCGAACTAAATGACGTCATCATAAAAACATCGACAGTGAACGTGTGAGAGAAATCACCAGGAACAAAACAAAACAACACCCACACATATGCGGCCCCATCTCCATGGCTAAAAATGACATCAACACTCACACAACATTCAACATTCACCATAAGGACAATAACGACAATGATGTCATTAATTGAGAACCTCTAACAAAGTCTAAAAATTTATCAATGACATTACTTGAGAAACTACACAAACAACAACAACAGTAACGACTACATCAGCAACAACTACTTCAGTGGCACTTGCACTAGCGACAACAACAATCACGAGACACCAACATCAACGCTAACAACAACATCTAACAACAATTGCAGGCTTACAAATTACTACAGTAAAGGTCATATCAAATTCTGACAACAACAAATATACTAACAACATCAGCAACAACAACAACAAAAGCAGCCACAACTGAAACAGCGACAGCATCAACAACAACGACGACGACGACAACAACAAAGATTCGCACGTATGCTGATGCTAACAACAAAATCATAAAAACAACAACATTGCCCTCAACAACAATCATGTTAACAACAACATTAACACCAACACAAACAACAACAATTATATGACCAATAACAACAATCACACTAACGGCAACAACGCCGGCCGACCGGCCAGCCAGCGTACGTACGTTCGTATGCATCTGACATTATGACGTCATTAACGACTACGATGCTACGATGCGAAAGGAAATTTTCATTACGTTCAACGACGATTTATGATTTTTGAGTCCGATACCGACCGGTCACGTGATAATTTGATAGGACGGTCATGATTGGTCAGATATTAATCACGTGATGAACGCTCCGATCGCTGATTGGACGAAATGTTCGACGTTGCTATGGCGACAAGAAAATATGCAGCTTGTTATTACGATTATTTGAAAAATAAATGAATAAATACGGGAAGGACGGATGGAAGGAAGAATAGAAATGAATGTTTAGAGGTGCACTGGGGATGAAAATGTTTACAACGTGAATATGAACTTTCATTAAAAGGAGATCATTAACTTTTCGTTAATTTAATTAATTTAATTAAAACCTATCCTCCGAAAACATTCAGCAGGGAACAAATTGAATAATTAATTGTGCCTCAATTTTTAGAGTTGAAAGCATCTTTCCACAGCGCCATCTTTTTATTCTCTAGTTATCTCGGCATTTCTCCAATTGAAGCAAGTATAATAAAAAAATACAGCGGACCATTCATGCACGTACACGTACGCATCAATACAACCTGATACAAATGAACGTGTGTACGCGTTTGCGCGAATATACCAAAGTTATATACGACCACCTATGCGTACATGCAATCGTAAAATGTGTACTGCGAGTGTGTGTGGTTTAAAATAAAGATATAAACACACAAATAGATGTAGAACGTACACATAGACACGCACGCACACAAACAGACAGACAGACACACGCACGCAAACAGACAGACATACGCACATAAGCATATTGTGTACGGATGAAATTGAAATAACCGTCCGTGCGTGGAATAGTTATAATTCATTTGAAATAAGAAATGAATTCTTTTGAAATGAGCTGTGCGTCCACAGCCGGTCGACTTAATGGTCATTTTTTGAGCTCCAGCGCTCACGTGATATGGAGAGGATTTATTAATAGCCGTCTGGAGACAAACGAGTGGTCAGATGATAAATACGCTGACTGCATGTGTACGCACGATTTTTCCTCCTTCCTCTTTCTTTCTATCTTTGTTTTCATTTCTATGCGCTTTTTGTTCATGGTTGATTTTTTTTTTCATTTGTTGGTAGATTTATTTTTTAAACAGGCAGTGCGTTGGATGCGTGAGTTTGTTTTGTGTGTGTGTGTGTTGTGAGTGTGCGTGTGTGTGTGTGTGTGTGTGTGTGTGTGTGTGTGTGTGATATGGTATAATGTGTTGTTTGCTACGTTGCTTAAAATATTATATTTGGGCAGCATAAGTGTTTGTATCATGTTAATCAGCCTCTGTAGGTCGGTCATGAAATGTTAGAGGTGATGATGGTGAAGCAGATGATGCTGATGATGGTGATTCAGATGATGCTGATGATGGTGATTCAGATGATGATGGGGAAGCAGATGATCATGGTGATTCAGATGATCATGGTGATTCAGATGATGATATAGATGATTATTACAATCAATGAAAACGTTTCTGCTCGAGGAAGATGGTGAAAATAATGATGATGGTGGTGATGGTGATGATAAAAACTGTAATGATGTTTAAAATGATGATAATGACTGATGAAAGAGATGCCAAACGCTGATGAAGGTGCAAATGACAAAAATATTTACAGTTGACGAAGAAAAGAAAATGGATGGTAAAGACGACGAAGATGAGGAAAATGACAAATTGATGCGAATGATGATGAAAGTGATCTCAAAATGTTGAAAATAAAAAAAATGAAAAATTAGATGATGGTGAAGATGAAGAAAAAGAGGAAGAAGAGCAGAAGGAAAGAAGACGGAAAAGGAAGAAGATAGATAATGAATGCATTACAAGCATGTTGTACAATATTCATACGCGGGTCATCATACTCATCTCACGGGTCACGTGTCTGGGTCATAGGTCAATTGTAGAGGTTGTGCTGCGTCATTTGTTAGGATTTCTTTTTTAATTAAACAAAATCCATGGCTACCACCACGTCAGTTTGTATGTTTTTAATGTTTTGTATGTTTTGTATATTTTCAACGTTTGGTATGTTTATAATATTTTGTACGTTATCAATGTATTGTATTTTTTTAATGTTTTGTATATTTTTAATGTTTTGTTTGCTGTAAATATTCTGTATGTTTTTTATGTTCTCAGTGTTTGTATGCTTCGTATGTAGCATGCGCTTGCCTGTGATTGAATGTAGGCGCAAAAGATGGATGTTTATATCGCTCTTACATCGGCATACACGTATTTCTCTCTTATTACAGTTAAAATCAATCGATACACTTCACAACATTCTCCTTATTAAAATTCAACAAAAACATAGTTGGCATTTCTAAGATTCTTTCTCAAACGCGCGTCTTGATAACGATGTCAAATGACAACAAATGTGACGTCATCATCACTTGAAATGTCACGTGATACATCCACCCATGCAACATGGCGCACTTATTTGGGTCACGCCTCTCTTTTCCGTCAATTGTCTCCATGACGACCGTGTCTGACCTGACCTCAATTGCCTCCCTGACCCAGTAACATGCCTCGGCGTGGACATGTGTGTGTGTGTGTGTGTGTGTTTTTCAGTGTGTGTGTGTGTGTGTGTGTGTGTATGTGTGAGTGTTTGTGTGTGATGAGTGTGTGTGTGTGTTTTTCAGTGTTTGTGTGTATGTGTGAGTGTGTGCGTGAGTTTGTATCAGTATTTTGTATGTTTGGGTAGCGCGGTGAACTGCCTCATGTAATGTAGGTATGTTGGTTTCGTATATGCTGCTGTTGATGTCGACGATGATGATGATGATAATGATGGTGATAATAATGACGTTGTTGTTGGTGATGATGATGATGACGATGATGATGATGATGAGTGTCATCCAAAAAGGAAATGGCATATAATGTTATTGATGGAAATGAAATAATGATGATGATGATATCTCGTGATACAGTTGTTCATAACGAGGGGTTGAATATTCTTAATAATCATAAAATGTGCATGGCATACTTCAAGACATGAT